AGAAGATTTAGAAAGAAAAAAAAATAGGAATAATCTTATAGAACTGAAAGGGCAGTGAACCAAGAGAGGTATACTTTGATTTTCTGGTAGAAAGCTATCTAGAACGCAATATGAAATTCCCAGACATGCTGCACTATGGGAATACAGGTGACACAGGGTTCTAGGACATTCTAACAATGGATCTAGTATCAAAAGATGCCCAGGACGTCTTCCTTCTATTTCCATAAGTAGCCAATTTCAAAATGTCTATGTCACCAATGATCTAATGTGGCATCTAAAATCTCAATCATGTATCTCAGTAACTGGTTCAAAAAATAATTATAGTCATTAACTACTTAAATAAAATTTTGAAATACTCAAAAGAATCACCAGTGCCACAATTTAACTACCTGAAGTGCTCTGAAATAAAAATATTGAAATAATTTTCAAACCAAAGCAAATCAAAGCTAATTTCCTACTATTTCAAAGAATTCTTCCACATACCCATGTCACCAAACAATGGATTAAAATTGTTTTTAAGCCATATTTATATGTCATACAAACTGGTGACAAGATCATTTCAGATCAAATGATAAACTGATAGCAACCAAAATACATAGCTTTATAGTAGCCAAAATTTCCACGGTCAAACTGAATGATGCATTTTCACATTTGGTGAGCTATAATCAATTAGCTCTTACAGAATTCCACTTAAAGTGGGAATAAAAAGTTAAGCCAACTTAATTTATAATTTATTATTGTAGTCTTCCATTCTCCTATCGTTAAAAAGAAAAAAAGGTGACATAGTGAGGGTGCTGGCCTGCTTTTGGCACTAAACAGCTACAAGCAACTGATCCTAATGGTTTTAAGTTTGAGCATTTGGCAGGACTAAAAGATAAACTGATACTTTTCCTTCTGAGTGTTTCCCCCCGCCCCCCCGTTGACCTAGATTTTTTTTTTTTTACCATCTATCTCTCTTTTAGAAAAATCTATATTTTGGCAAATCTTTCTAGATCTAACCATTATGTAATTCACACATGAAGAAAAGCCAATGAGTTTTTGACCATTTCGACTTGGCAGGATCGTCTCTGTAAAGTCATTAGCAACAAGATTGCAAATATAAATTCAGATCTATGTAGCCCCTGACATATAGATAGCTACTTCATTTTCAACAAATACAGACAGCCACAGAGGTTACAGTCAGGGCCACAGGCTTATCTCTCCTCTTCCTTCCATCACACCTGAGACCCAAAGGCTATTGACATGAAAACCATCTCTGGAAAAAACAGAAGCTTCTGAATTTCAGCAAATGAAAAGCATGCATATTTCAAGGGAGCAGGACAGGGTAGGTGGCTACAATAGGAAGATCAGACTTGATGAAGAGAGAGGGGCAAAGGATGTGGGGTGGGAATATGGAAAGGAGGTACAAATATTACAAAAACTATTTTAACCACTTGAGATTTTTATGTAAGCCAGGCCTGTGGCCCAAAAGGGTGAGGAAAAAAATGTCCTTTTCTTGCCACACTACAAGGAACTAAATATAATAATAATAACAACAGTAATAATAATAATGATGATGATGTAAGAAATTAAAATTATTGCTGGCTAGCCTAGCAACCTTGCCACCAGTTTTAAGCTGTTATGAGAAAATAGACTGCACGCTGCAAATGCAATCAGCCAATATCTGAGTGCAGTAAACAAGACAGACATGGTCCCAGCTCCCAAGTCCAATGGGAAAATAACCAAAAACTGGTTATTTTCAAATAACATTATACATTATAACAAATTGTGAGGGGTACTATGAGGAAAAAAGGGTGGAGCCAGAAAACAGTTGGCGGTGCACATTTTAGATATGGTAGTCGAAGTCCATGGAGGTAACATTTATACCAAATTCAGAGGAAGAAAGGGAACTAGTCATTCCAAGAGCAGGAGGGAAAAGGGACTAGGCCCTGAGGCAAGGAGAAGCTTATCATGTTCAGGTGCCTTTGAGATCACCATGGCTGGACAGTAGCAGTAAATCAGACGGAAGAGTGGGATAAAATGAAGTTTGCAAAGCCAGACAATGCAGTTTTTATTCTGATGTTACAGAAAGCCATCAACGAACTTAAAAAGAAACCTATAATTTCGTAGCACAGCCTATTTGTTAACTGAGGATATCATCATAAATCATCATAATAAAAGTGGATATTTTAAACTGTAAAATTCAGTTTATGATAATATTGATCACAGTCCTATAGTTATTGTAACCTTTCCACTTCTAATCAGCAAATCTCCCTCCTGTGATAACCTGGCTTTAGTTCCCTAGTCCTTTCAGAACACTTATCTCATTTGGGACTTTTTTTAGTTGTTGGTGGTGGTGTTTTGGCCTTTTTCCCACACTGATCTGTAAGCTCCATGAGCACAGGGGCCATACCAGTCTTAACATTATTTTCTCAGAATCTCATACCCATACCGAACACTAAGTGGGTAATTAGTCCTTATTTGTGAAACAATAAACAAATGTGATTCATCTAGGACTTAATGATCACTTAGTTGTTCTAGACCCTGAGGAAACAGAAAGACTGAACCATGCCATTAACACCCACAAGAAGCTCAAGAGGGTGGGGTGAGGGGAGTCTAGTAAACTGTTAAATTATAACATGGTTTAAACAAACTTGTGGGAGTCCAGAGGAGTGTGTGCATATGATTTAACAAAAAATTTTCTTTGTATAGGCATGGGTATCTATGTGACAAGTCCAATACAGATATAATCAGAGACATTTAATAAATATTTTAACTAAAATCACACAATTTGTGGACCTTAAATCTGTGTTTATAGCAGCTGAGGATAATGGCATGCAGCCTACATTATTCCTGTGTTCAGCACTGGGGAACATCTGACAAGTATCACACTAAAAAAGGAATTTCCACTGCTCAGCAGAGCATAAGGTAAGCTTATACAATATCCAACCTGTAGTGTGAGATTCCAGAATTCCCAGTCCCCCCTCCCCCCCTAGCCTAAGGGTGCCAAGTTTTGAGCTGCACTGATTCAGCACTATGTTTACGGTCCTTTCACAGAAGTTGGTGACTACACAGCACTTTCCAACCTTTATGGCAACAAAAGAATAATACTAATGGCCAACACTATTTGGGAGGCAGAGCAAATTATAAAAAGCAAGTTTAAGAAAAAGAAAGAAAGCCAATAGGATCACAGGATTACATTCAGCATTATTTAACAAGAGATACACAGAACAAGTTAGTAAAAACAAAAGCCTTTTCAGTAGACTTGGAAGTAAAAACGGTACTGTGTAATACAATTCAGATCTACTGTTTTGCGGAAGTGAAATCTTGTATTCCCTAAAAATAGGAAATAACTTCCTCCAGAAAAAAAAAAAAAAAAGCAAAAGCCTGGCATCTTATAAAATTATTTTCCTATTCCCTTAAAAGAGTCAGCATAGCATGATCCTCAAAAAAAAAACCAGTTAGCTTAAAGAACACGTCTAATACTGCCTAGAAAACAAACTGACTATGAAATAAAATGTAATTGAGGTTATAAAGAAAAGTTTGGAGTTATATATCAAACGTTTAATATAGTTTATAATGTAAATTTTGAGAGATTGAGTGGAGGAAGAAGAATGAATTTATGAAACCAAAGTTGTAAATAATTCAGTAATAATCCATTAACTAGACAACAAAGAAGCCTCTGTCAAAACGCCTCTGCCTGTTAATGCAAGAGGCAGATTTATCTAACTTATTCTTAAGTGCAAGGGTTGTAAAGACAAATTGTACAAGGTGCTTTGACAAGTTTTTCTCAGCACAGAACAAATATGCAGCAAAATGCTTTTAGAACTTCGATCTCTAGAATTTTACGAGAACGCCGATGGTTCTCTAAATGCCCTTACCACAGTCTAACTTGTGTTGTCAGTCAACTCAATCCACACATTGAACACATTCCTACTAGTTCAAGAGCAGAAATCAATTCTTTATTCTTTGTCCACAAACAAGACACTAATATTTGTTGAAAGAACTATGAATTTGCCTACTATCGTAATATGGATGCATTAATGAATTGAGAGACTTCACGCAAAATTATGTATTCAATACCAATGATGCAGATGGCAAAAATGACACAAAAAAGCCAACTACCGAATTGGAGAAAACAATTTAAACACGACTAAAGAATCCATTCATCCAGTGTTCCTGGGGACACTATCAAACACTTGCAACAGTCCTGCCCCTTCTCCTTCTAATACTGAGGAACTAAATCCTAGCTGGCGATCTCAGAGCTTGTCAATATATACTGAAATTTCTAGAAAAGTTGCTGACCAAGAAGCGTGGCCCAGCCACGAAACACCAGCACCGCATTCCAAAAGGAAGGCAACCCCGGCACAGGATGCAACACGGCTGTGGACTTGGCAGTACCGGAGCAGGAGGGTGTGGACCTGACAGGCAAGGTCGGTTCCGCGCGGGCAGCGCCCCCAGCCCTCGGTCCGCCCAGCCTTGGCCCGCCGAGGTTCTCCCCACTCCGACTGCCAGCTCGCGCACAGCAGCCTCTCTCCCGCGCTGGCACTTCGCCACCTCAATCTTTCCACCGGGGCCAGAGGGGCAGTCGCACCTCACCCTCCCCACGACCCCGTACGGGAGTCCACCCAGCGCGAGGAAGGACCGCGTTCGCCTCGCGCAAGTCCCTACACAGCTATACCCCCATACTCCACCCCAGAGCATGCAGCCTTCTCTTAACTTCCCTTGAGAGTCGTGTCCCCCAACACATCCTCCACACCCTGGTGGTTTTCCCAGCACGAGCACCCCAGCCTTACCCGAACCCAACAAGCACACCGCTAGAAATAAGACCTCCGCCTCCAGCCGACTGGGTGACTCTGATGGGAGGCAGCACGTTCACGACACTTTCGCGATTGCCGTAAAGGGACACAGGGTCGGAACCCGCGGCGGCGCGGGCGCGGGCGCGGGCGCG